CTTGCCTCCCAGGCTCTGAGAGACCCTTTGTGTAGCTCTGTTCTAGAAGGGAAAGAGATTGGAAAAAACCCCTGTCGAATGACTGCAGAGAATTCGAAGCTTTCCTTTGCGGGCAAAGAATGGGACCGTGCTCTTGCTGTGTCCTGCCCCTCTCGGGTGAGAATTTCAAAACCTGGTTTTTCACTGTGCCTCTTTGAAGAGGGGTTATGTTCTAAATTAGTTTGCTAGTGGGAAACAGAGATGCTAAGCAGGAGAGGAACTTCAAAATTTAGATATATGTGTTTATTGAGGACTTCCTATGTGCAAAGGCAGCCCACTGGACCCCCTCGGCAAAAAAGAAAAAAAATGCATGGAACATATTCTCTGTCCTCCAGGAACTTGCTGTCTGGGGTGGGGGGGGCAGGGATTTGAGACTTCGAAGGTGGAAGGTCTCAGAAAGCAAGCCTAAAGGGCACATCTGCTTGCAGCGGAGAATCCTGGGTCCCTGAAGACAGGTGGAGGCAGCTCCGGGGAAGGCAGGGCGTTGCAGACTGGGAATGCTGGGCACAGATGTGGGGCCGTGTCCAGGGGATCCGGGGGAGCTGGAACCCGGACACCTCTAGGGGCCGACAGGTTAGTTAGAGACAGTGGGAGGTGGGTGGGTGTGGAAGACTGGCAGACTGGGGCAGCTCCTTCACTGGCCAAGTACTGCCATGTCCCAGTGCGGGCTCATGGTTTCCAGATCTTTCCTTTCTTGTCAGGAGAGGCCAGGAGTCTGAATGTCCACATGAACTGTAAAGGACCACCCTGTCGGGGTGCCTAGGCATCTGACTCTTGGTTTGGGCTCGGGTTGTGATCTCGGGGTCGTGAGATGGAGCCCCGTGCTTAGTGCAGAGCCTGCTGGAGATTCTCTCTCTCCCTCTCCCTCCGCTGCTCCCCCGGGAGCTCTCCCTCTCTCGAATAATCTTTTTTTTTTTTTTTTAAGATTTTATTTATTTATTTGACAGACAGAGATCACAAGTAGGCAGAGAGGCAGGCAGAGAGACAGAAAGAGGAGGAAGCAGGCTCCCCGCTGAGCAGAGAGTCCAATGTGGGGCTCCATCCCAGGACCCTGGGATCATGACCTGAGCCGAAGGCAGAGGCTTTAACCCACTGAGCCACCCAGATGCCCCAAAAGATATATCTTTAAACATGATGTTATTTACATCAAACATGCAGATGTCTTAGCCTGTTCAGGCTGCTCTCACAAAATCCCACAGACCATGACTTATAAACAATGGTTATTTCTCATGGTTCCAGAGGCTGGAAAGATTGAGGAGCGAGCGGATTGCATGTCTGGTGAGAGCCCGCTTCTGGGCTGCTGGCTTCCCACTGCATCCTCACTTGGTGGAAGGGGCAGGGAGCTCTCTGGGGCATCTTGGATAAGGGCACTCATCCCATTCCCAAGGGCTCTACTCTCATGACCGGATCACTTCCCACAGGCCCTACCTCCTAACGTGGGGTTTAGGTTCAAAGAAGGAATTTGGGGAGGGTCAGGACTCAGTAAGGCAAGCAAGACACCCAGGGCACGTAGTATGAGGAGACCCCAAGAGCGAGGTCCCCATATGGTTCACACTCCACATGGCTCTCCTGACTCCCCCGATTCCTGACCCTGCTCCATGGGCTCCCATTTGTCATTTTAGGGTTCAAGGAGAAAGGCAGTGAAAACAGATTGGCAAGGCAGGGCCAGGGGTGTGGCCACCGAAGGTTTCTGAGCAAGAAGGAAGATGGCTAGAATGTGCTGTAGAGGGAGGGCACTGAAGAGGGCGGGCTGGCACCGGGCAGGGCAGCAAGGCTCTTCTAACAGGCCAGGCTACAAGTAGGGAGGCAGCAATAGGAACCCAAAGGAGTTATCTTGTAGGAGGTAGGATGGTGTGAGAGGCCTGTAAGGAGGTGGGTTCTGGAATTGGATTGTCTGAGCTTAAATCCTGGTTCTTGCTTATAATAGTTATGATGCTGGGCAAGCGGTTTAGCCTCTCTGTTTCTGTCACAGTTTCTTCATCTGTGAAATGGGCTCACAGCAAGGCCCACCTACCTACCTCACAGGGTGTGGTCGATATTCGACAGGGCCTGACTCTGTGGACAGCGCCTGGCCTGCCCTAAGTGCAAAGGACACGGTGGCCATGGGGACTGTGGTAGATACAAGGGACCCTTCGGTCACCAGCGCCCACAGAGTTAAGCAAGCACTGGAAGAGCATAGATTAGAATCGCTTGGGGGATCTGTTAAATGTCCCCAGACCGAGGCCACGCCCCAGGCCAATTAAATCACAATCTCTGGGGTGGGGACTGGGCATCAGTATTTTCTGGAAGCTTCCCAGGAGTTTCCGAGGTGCTGCCAAGCTTGGGAACCATTGCTAATCTTGAACCCTGTATGCCCGAGTACTGGACTGGGAGAATTGACCTTGAGAAGACACAAACAAGCAACCATTTTGTAGCTGGAGGGGAAGCCAGATGGGGGTGGGGTGTGGGATGGCAGGCTGTGTGACCCCGGGGGCCCAGCTAGGGACTCCTACTAAGGCTCCAGGGGGCCTTGCGGGCCTGGCCGCCACTGGCACCCCCACCCCCAGGCTGGGAGAGGGGCCGCTGCCCGCACCCGCGGAGGACTCCCAAGCGGGAGACCAGAGCCGAAGCTCGGAGCCCGGCTTGGGCGCCAGAGGGAGCTCGTGGGGACACGCCACGGCTCCATCCCTGCAGCTGGTTCAAACTGGTTTAGGCAGGGTGCGGCCCTGGCAGGCTGCATGCCAGGCCTCAGGCGTGTTGCCTGCCCCTGGGTCTCCCCAAGAGCTGGGAACTGGGGGCAGGGCGCTGGGGCACAGCCAGGCACCTCCGACCCTCCAGGAGATCGTTCCACAGTCCGTCCCCTTCGTTGAAAACCATGGACGTGGCCTCCCACAGGGGTCCCTGGGTAACGCCCGCAGCAAGAGGGAGCCCCCGAATAGGGGTCCTTCTGACACTATGGCGAGCATCAGAACAACCTGCGGGGCTGTTAAGAGGCAGATGCCTGGATCTCCTCAGAGATTTGGATTCAGAAAGTTGGGGGAGGGCTCCGGGCATCTGTATTTTTAGCAAAATATTTCTAAGGCATAATCACACATTTGTGGGGGGGAACCTCACAGCAAAATGACTGCTGGCTAGCCAACTCAGCTCAGGGTAGAAATCGCTGAGACGCTGGGGAAGAGGCCGGATCCTTCCGCAGACACCCCAATTCCTGGGCCAAGGGGGTCTGAGCCCCCTGCCCTTTCAGCCAATATCCCAGTCCTTTTATTTGCCTTGCTTTTAGTGAGTCATTCTGGGCATCCAGTAGGTTTAACTCCGATAGCCACCAACGTTAGGGATCTAACTGAAACCCCGTTCATCCGCCGCCTCCATCCCCTCCCCCCACCGCTTTCCTGAATGGGGCCCGCACCGCTCCCAGGCGCAGCTTTCGCCTTTTACTCCATATGGCTGTATCCATACACAATATAGAGTGTGGTTTTGCATGTTTTTAAACCTTTATGTTAATGGCAGAGTGCCCTACGGAGCCTTCTGCAACATGTCTTTCCCCCCCCCCCCCTTGTTAGCATTATGTTCGTGAGTCTCATCCACCGGGGGAAGTTTGATGAAGTCATCTGAAGTCAGTCCTGGGCTTTCCTGAGGCTTTCCTGAGGATCCCAGCCCGCCTGTCGCGTTGAGGGTCTGGTCTTGATTCCTGGGGATCTTGTGTGATGAGAGGAAGGGCTCTGAGCATCAGGAAAATCACGACGGTAATGAACGGCCACATTCAGGTCCCGTGAGTTCCTATCAAGACCTTTAACAAACCACCTGCGGCCCAAATCTTTCCCAAGATTTTAACAGAGAGCGACCCTGACCTGAAGGCCTGAATGTTTGGGCCGAGATGCGGAGAAATGAGTGGGAAGCAGATGTGGAAGTGGGAATTTTACAGCTTGTACGGGGACAGATCACCCACAAGCCGGAGGGAGCAGGAGCTCACGCCTCCTACCTGGGGTTGTCAGATAAACTCTACATGTAGATTTAACCGGGATTGGGTGGAGGAGCGAGGAACGGGGGGTGTCGCCGATATTTATTAATAACCCTAAGCCCAGCCTGATTTTGTTCCACGCATGCAGCATTAAAAAAAAAAAAAAAAAGGCGTCATAGGAAAAGTGAGAATTCTAGATTTCCCCAGACCTCTTCACCATTTTTTGGATTTTCCTCATTCGGGTTTTTTTTGGGGGGGATGCACCCCGCCCTCTTCAGCCTCTATAGAGGGTCTACGCAAGCCTCCCAGGGCTAAATGTGTATGCATGGGGGGGGGGTCAAGCTTAGAGCATTTACGAATTCCCTGGGGAGTTTATTTTAAAAGCTGCTCCTGGGAGGGAAAGGCCGCTACGGCCCGTTTCTCTAATTCCCAGGACTCTCCGCCGGGCGCAAACAAGATGCTGGAGTTAGGGCGGCCTTGGGGGCGGGGCTTTGGTCTTTAAATGAAAGGATCCTCTGGATGGCGGTTCTCTATCCTGGATGCTGGAAACACCCGGGGAGCTTTAAAAACTACTGATGCCCAAGCCCCACCCCCAGGGGTTCCGGCTGGATCGGCCCGGGTGAGGCCCGGCTTCCGGGCTTTTGAAAGCTCCCCGGGGCAGTCTAAAGTGCCATGGGGGCTGGGAACCGTGGCTTCGCCCGGATTCCAGGGAAAAGGGGTGGTCTCTACGCGCGGTTCTCAAACTCGGCTGTATGTTGGAATCATCAGGCGAACTTCAAAAAACAGTGGTGCCTGGTCCCAACCCCAGAGACTGTGTGTGGGCGGGACTTTGGAAGTTCTAAGGGTCCCAGGTGATGGCAATGGGCAGGCGAGTTTGAGAAGCTTTGCTTTACCAGGTGGTGCGAGGGCCGGGCGCAGTGAGCACCTCACGCCACTGGGTGGCGCTGCCCACTCGGCCCGGCGCTCGGGGAGGCGCGTGGAGGCCGAGGCCCGGTGCGCACCTGCCCCGCCTCCTCCAGGCGGGCCACGGGGCATGCAGCCGGTCGGGGGCGGGGCTCCGAGGCCGGGACGCGGCCACCGGCTCCCCCGCACCCTCCTCCAGCTGGACCCCGTCGCGCTCCTGATGCTGCTCGTGGACGCCGACCCGCCGGAGTCCGTGCGCAGCGGGGCGCGCGAGCTCGCGCTCTTCCTGACCCCCGAGCCCGGGGCCGAGGTAGGGGACAGGGGATGGCGGTGGGGGAGGCGCGTCTCGGGGTTGAGGGTCTGGGCTCCTGCACCCCGCGGCAGGAAAGGGTGGGTGCGGCCTCCGGAGCGCCGGGACCCGAACCCTTGGCGTCCCCGCCGCATCCTCTCACACCCGGCACAGGGGCCGGAGGGCCCCATCCTTTGCGGAGAGGTGATGCCTGGCGCCGCCCAGAGATACGCGGCAGGTCGCACCGCTCCCTTCTCCAGCGGATAAGGCCCCCGGGGTCGCAGACTCGCGTCGCTTCCCGGTCAGGGCTCCCAGCGTCGGCGGGGACTGTGGAGCAAGGCGCGCAGGCAGCCGCTGCCCTTTGCCAGGCGGGGCTCTGGGGAGGCCGCCCCTGGGTCCTGCCCCCAGCCGGGCGCTCAGCCCACTTCGCTGCGAGCCAGGGGCCCCGGGCCTGGGAAGAGGCGGGCGGGCTGCGTCTGTGCGGGGAAGCCCTGGGCCTTGGTCCTGCTGTTGCTAAGAGGGAAAATACCTCGTCTCTATCTGTACTTTCTATTTTAAAAGCACAGAATAAAAAGTAGATCTGAAACTAGGCCCTTCATCTTCCAGCTGAAGCCAGTCTGTTAACAGTGCCGTGAAAAAGTTATTTATCCAAGTCGGCCAGGAGTTATTTAAGGCTTGAATTCAACTCATTCTCTTTTTAAATCTCAAAAGCAGGACAGAACTATAGCAAATAAAGGGTGAGCACCCTCTCCTTTTTCTCTGCGTCCCTAACTCCAGTCCCCAGAGATAACCATCACCAACAGTGTGGTGTGCCTCATTCCAGACACTTAAAAAATGCATTTTCAAATGTGGGTATGCATACATATTAGTAATGCTATGTGTTAGTTTTTATAAAACCCCACTTGATACTGTAATGCTGTTCTGCAGGTTGCTTTTTTCCACTCAAAATCGCATGAACAAATGGGGAGTGACTGCTAATGATAAGGGACGGGGCTTTTCAGGGTGATGAAAATGTTCTGGAATTAGTAGTGATGGTTGCGCAACTTCATGAATACACTGAAAACCACAGAATTGTACACTTTTAAGGGGTGAATTTTATGATATGTGAATCACATCTCAATTTTACAAAATAGCATGGACATATTTTCATGTCAGAATGTATCCATAAGACCTGTCCAATAGAAATATAATTTGAGCCACAAATATGAGCCATTCATGTACTTTGAAATGTTCTGGGAGCCACATAAAAAAGGAAAAAGAAACAGGTGAAATTAGTCCCATTACACTTAAAATAACAGTGCCTCCAAAATGTCAATCATTTTAACATGTAATCAATGTAAAACAATATTTTTTTAATGTAAAACAATTTTAATGAGATTTTTATTTTTTTTATGTGCTAGGTTTTCAAAATCGGGCTTTTTATTTTATTTATTTATTTTTAAAAGATTTTATTTATTTATTTATTTGACAGCGAGAGATCATAAGTAAGCAGAGAGGCAGGCATAGAGAGAGAGGAGGAAGCAGGCTCCCCACTGAGCAGAGAACCCAATGTGGGGCTCGATCCCAGGACCCTGAGATCATGACCTGAGCTGAAGGCTGAGGCTTTAACCCACTGAGCCACCCAGGCGCCCCTTTTTTTTCGTTTTTAGGAGAGGGGGAGAGAGAGAGAGGTGGGGGGTGGGGAAGGGCAGAGGGCCAGGGAGAGAGAATCTTAAGCAGAATCCTCTCCCAGCCTGGAGCCGGTCCTGGGGTTCGATTTCATGATCCCAAGATCATGACCTGAGGCGAAATCAAGAGTTGGACCCTTAACCAACTGAGCCACCCAGGCGCTTCCAAATCAGGCTTTCCTACTGAACTTACAACATATCTCCATTTGGACCAGCCATATTCTAAGTGTTTAATAGTTATATGAGGCTGGTGGCTTCCGTGTTGGAGAGCGCAGGTGCCATCATTCTTTGGCTTCCTAGTATCCCACAATGAAGTAATAATTACTCCCGTTTCCTGGGCACGTACTATGTGCTAGCTGTGTGCTATGCCCTGTTCCCACCGACCCAGTGGCCAGGAGGTTTTTGGGTGGCTTGTATGGCTGAGAAAACAGAGGCCCTCGCAGAATCAGCACCGCCCACTGGAGGGGCCGTAATTTATGACCTCTGCCCCCAGGGACGGGCTTTTGGGGGTGTCTACAGTTTTTTACTGGTTTAAGGAACGTGAGCGTGTTTCTCGCTCCTTCTCTGCCTTGCTCTCAGCAGAGACATGTCATTGTGCCCAGCGGCTAAACCTCAGCTTCATTTTGTCTCTATTAGGGACGGCCGTCAAGACAAACTGCATGTGTTGACTTCATTTTCTCACTCAGGGCTCTCTTTAACTCAGACGCGGGCTGGCTCACCCTCGTTTGTGAGGGAGGTAATGAAGAGCCCCGCTCCCTGCAGCTCCGTGCGGCAATAAACCCACTTAGAGCGCTGGCTGAAGTTTATTTACCAGAAGCAGCAGAAACCGCGGGAGCAGAGTCACTCATAACCTCTACTTAAAGCTTAATTCATTAGCGGGTCCCCGTGCTGAGGCTGTTTGCAGATGGGTCAGTGAGCTGGAAAAGGGAGATCTGAGTTAGTTGGGAACAGGCCTGGACAGCTGGGCCCTTCTCCTGGGGCCACTTTTGGCTTTTAAATGGGTCCCAGACCAGCCAGCTCCAGTCCTAGGGGTGTCCTGGGGTTCCTAGTGAAGTGGGCCCTGCTGTGTTCAACACCTTGAACCTCTGGTCTGTGCCAGGAGCTGGGGACAGCAGTGAAACACGCAGGGGCCCTGCTCTCAGGACACCATCGGGCCACAGACATGTCATGCACCAAAGCTCTAGATGGGGACAGCGGCCCCGGGAGCAAACACATGGTGGTGTGATAGAGGGTATCTGTGTGAGTCAGCAAGACAGGGGGCGGGCAAAGTCTCTCCAGGGAAGCGGAGACCTGAGTGGTACCCACTGAGGAATGTGCAAGAAAGAAGCAGCCCAGGGACCTGACTTTGTTGGGGTGCAATCAGGGAAGGCTGCCTTGAGGCGGCAGCATTTTAGACTGAGGCCTAAAGTGTGAATGAGAGCTGGCCAGGCTACGAGGAGAAAAATCACCCAGGCAGAGGGAACAAAACCTGCAAAGGCCTTGGGGTGGAAGGAAGCAGGATGCCCTTTGGGATGGGAGAGCAGCCGGTGGAAGGGGCAGCCGTGGGAGATGTGGTCAGCGAGGAGGGCAGAAGCGCGGCTGCAGCGTGGCTGGCTGACATTGATGGGCAGGTGAGTATTTTACTGTTTTTGGTGCCTCTGGGGTATTCTGTTCAACCAGTTTTTTGTGTGTTTTACTTTCTCTCTTTTTCTGGTTTGAACTTCCTCTTTTGTGGGGCAGTTTCAGGCTGGTCTCGAGAAGCTGCTTCAAGATGGCAGAGAGAGAGAGATGTTTGCTTCTTGGGCGCGCTCTGATTTGCAAGGACAGGTCGTTCAGGGTCCTCCCGAATAGCGGAGCGTCGGTACCCACGCACAGGTGAATCCTTGGCCAGGCTCTTTCGGAGTTGTCTTTGGTTCCTCTGCTGAGACACAGGACAGGCTTGTGAGGTTCATGGCCTGGGTGGGAGGACATCAGGCCAGCACTTTCTGAGGCCCAGGGTCTCTGCTTGAGTGAGCAGAGGATGAAGGCGGAGAAAACACTTGGTTCTGTTAACCACATGTGGACTAGAGTGGGGGTTGAAAACTCCTAGCCCCAGTGCTGAGTCCCGCAGTCTGATGTGACTGGATCTGTCAACATAGGGCTTCTTAAATGGAGCACTCTTGTGAAAAACTCCGAGTTTCTGGTTTATTTAAAATATTAGGCAGTCTGTTGTTGTGTTTTGTTTTGTTCTGAAGGAAGCTCTATGCCCAGAATGGGGCTTGAACTCACAACCCCGAGATGAAGAGTCACACGCTCCACCAGCCGAGCCAGCCCGGAGCCTCTCGGTCGGTGGAGCAGGTGACCCTTGATCTCAGGGTCAGGAGTTCAAGCCCCACATGGAGCATAAAGCCTACTTACAAAAATGAAGTAAAATAAAACATTAGCTGTTCTGGTAGGTCTGGGTCCCTGTTTGCCACAGTCCCCACTCCTCCCTGCTGTCTTCCCCATACTGAAGCTTCCCGTAGCATTAGTTACCATTTACCCTTGAGCTTGAACTTTTGATTTTTCTGTCATCACATAGGGAGAAAGTGGAATGACTTTTCCAAACCATGTGTTTGGACTAAACTAGGAAAACCTAAACTAGCCAAAGATGCCCCGGAGTTTCATGAAAAAAAAAAAAAAAATCAAAGAGAGTATGTCCAACCTGCAAACACCATGTGCTTGTGCCCCTCCCCCGGTCATGTGTCCTTGTGACCTGCTGGTCCTCTTTTGGCGTTCAGCTGAGGGATGTTCAGATGCCCCGTCTCAAAGTGCAGTTCCGTGTTCCTTTATTCCTCAGATCTTTATGGTGAGCCCTGTGTGTGCCAGGCTCTGTGCTGGACGGGGGACCAGGGAGAGGCCCGCAAGGCCAAGGGGGTGTCTGGCCTGAAGAACTGGCACTGCGGAGAGGGAGATGAGCGCACTGGTCACGATTGAGCAGAATAACTAAATGGTGCCCAGTGCCGTGAAGGGGACAGCAGAGGGACGATGACGGACATGCAGGGAGGGTTGGAAGGAACCATCTGGCAAAGCTCCAGCAGCACGTGCATGGCCCGAGGGGCAAACATGAGGCACGGGGTGTGGGGGGACCTCGGCAGCCAAGGGCGAGAGTGGGTGGGGTGAGACTAGGGCATAGGGCCATGGGGAGGAATCTGGATTCGATCCTAGGGTGCTGGCCGTGAGCAGGGGTGCACTGGCCATCAGCTGGGGAAAGCCGTGATCAGGTTCCTGGCCTCACGGCTGCAGGTTCTCAAATGTGTTGCAGGGGCTGGAGCGGGAGCAGGAGGACCACAGATGTGGCTGTCTGAGGGGAAGTGGCCTGAGCTGGCCATGTTCCCTGAATCAGAAACTTTAGGA